TATTTACAAAAATAATTTTATATTTATATTCTAAAAGCTAATACAATTAAAACTAATGCAAGATTTATCATTTACCAATTTATAAAGAAATAAATATGAAAAATTTTTATTCATAAAAATTATTAAAATATGTGAATTAACTATAAGGAAATCCTTATTTACCATTTTATAAAGTTCATTATGGATGGTCAGTTAGCCAATGTTTTGCCAACCATTCCTATAAACAATCTACTCCCTTCCACCAGAAACTCTGCTACTTTCTGATGTTAAGTGTCATTTTTTGTTTCCATTTTCCTTGAAACTTCCTTGTTATTTATATGTTCAGCTCATGGTATTCTCAGTATGCTTCTGTAGAACCATATTTGAGCTGCCTTCAGTTTCTTCTTCATCTGTAAGGAAATTGTCCAGCATTCATTGCTATATAGAAGTATGGATATTACCTCACAGTTCAGCTTTCTTTTTATCATTTCTAATTAAATTTTTCATGTTTTGTTAATACTGTGCTTAATTCTGGGTTGTGTCTATTATTATTCCAATTCAGCTTTCGATTTCAGTATCACAATTTCCATCTTCTGTTAAAACACTTTTCGGATATTAAAATTTTTGTACTTGCTTGAATTTGGTACCTTTAACTTGGGATGTGCCTTTTGTTGACAACCATTTACTATATTACTCTCTTCGCCCCCCCCTTCTTTCTCTCTTTCTTTTTTGTATGTCTTCTGTAGTGTTTCTCTGTTTTACTGATCTATGTTGAGTGAATAGTAAATCCTCTCTCGGTAGATGACAATCATTCTTTCTTGACATTTCACTCGCTCAAAGGTATTTCTTATCTCCATGCCGCTCCTTTTAGAAGTCTTTGTACTGCTTCTCTAGTGCTTTTCTGTTTTGCTGACTTGATGTAAAATTCAGTGAAGAGTAAAATATTTGGTCAATGACAGTGCTCTCATTGACATGTTACTTTGGCAACAAAAGTGTATCTTGAGGACTTTGATGTTCGTAATGATGTCACTCAGTGCACACTGTCAATCGTGTAGAGGCAGCACTGATTGAAGTATTTGAGCAGCTTACTTATGTCTTTGTCTTTTATACAGGCCACAACAAATAAAAATGTTGGATTTCAATCCTGCGGCAGTGCCTCCCTCATTAAACGAAAGAGGGAAGTTCGGTGGAACATTGACACCAGTGTGACAGCGGTTGCAGGGACCAGTCAATTTTTGACCTTAGCCCAGGTGCATTCACTTGGAATCCCCAATTTAAAATGGCCTTGTGCCATATCCTGTCTCTCCTCAACTCCAGTGTTTCTGAGTCCAAAATCTCCAGCTTATATGGGTCCTGCATCTGGCAAGGGTGGGGGTTGACTAGGATCTGGGTTTGGTTGTCTTCTACCCTAAGTATCAACCTTTTCCAAATTTCTATATAGAAAAATACATTTACTCTTTACCACTTTATAAGTGGTTTTCCAAATTTGGAGTTGTCCAGGCTCCTTTTGAGAGTGATCAGAGGAATAACACCATTTTTTAACTCCTACACTCTTTACACTTTGCCTTGTATCATCACTTCTATATAGGTAGTGCTAATCTCTTCCTCACTTTCTCCCTTCTCTTTCTCTGCCTTCTCCCACTTTCTTAACAGCTAACCTCAGCTTGGCTTCCTGGGACTGGAGGGATAAATCCAACTTACAGATGATGCAGCAGAAGACAAAAAGGATTTTCAGTCATTAATCCTTATCCCTAACCCTAACCCTATACTGTGATATAGTATATATACTTGATCGTCCAAACCACTCATAAATTGGAGAAAGAAAATCTATTTCCACTCTCCTTAAAATGAAAGTTTATCTTTTCTCTTGTTTTATGATCGATTAGGCCACACAGCCTTCTTGCTCATGGCTATTTCAAAATAGTAATTTATTTTTTCATTACCACCTGCATCCAAGGGAATCTGAATTAATGTTTAGATATAAAATTTTCTTTGGATGAATTTTGCTGAAATTATCTTTTCTCTTAGGTGGTTGATTCAAAACATGTTTTTATTTTATTTAACATCGTCATGGATATCTTAATGGTCTCTTTCTTATTGGTGGGAAAAGGACAGGCAGTCTTGGGTTTGTTCAATCTTACTGAATTTCGTCTCGTTAAATCTGAGTTTGATTCTCTTTGGAATTATCTCAAAACATGATTTTTCAACACATTTTATTTTTAATTTTCTTCTCAACTTTTCAATCCATCTTCCTGCAATTTCAACAATTATCATCCAGTTAGTAGACTCTCTCCTATTCTTTCTTTTTTTCTTTTTTGTTTGCTCAACCTCTGGAGATCTCAGTGTCAGAGAAGAACCATCCTCTTGGGAGTCTGTACTACAGTGCAAAAATTTTAGTGAAGGAGCTGTTTGAGTGGAACTTCCTCCTTACCAATGCTATATGAAGGGGATCAGAATGTGTTAACTCTGTATGTGGCCTGCTGGGTTTTAGCTGTGATGGTCTGGATTGGTAGAAATGAAGAATGTTGTTCTGCCATTGAAACAGAACAGCAATAGGCTAGCAGCCTTTCATCTGTGGGATAGGAGTTTTAGGGTGGAAAACAATTCATCCCTCTCAAGTCCACGTAAATGCTTTTGAATTCTGTCAAGGCTGAAAAGGATTGAGTAGCTCCAATCCAGATATGGAAGCAATATTTCTGTTGTAATCTAGAAAGGTATACTGAATAAGGAATAACCGAAATGGAAGTTGGAAATGAAATGGTAATCTTTATAACATCAACAAAATACAATACTCGCCAGCACCGTGAACTAGGTAAACCACTGCTAGTGGTGGACTACAAAGATAGCATATTGCCCCCACTTACCATAGTGTCCAATGTATTTATGAGGATTAGGGGATAATCATTATTGTTCATAGGTATGGTATATAACAATTCTATTTTTGGTTTAGTCTGGTTCTTTTAAAGATAGTGTTATGGCCAGAGGAGTCAGGTACTTTCTGGAACAGTACAAGGAACTGAACATTTTTG